GATAGTCTTATGCTCCGAATAATCATAGACTTTAAAGCTCCAACCTTTGTTTTGTAACTATGATTGGAGAAGAAGTAAAGTATAAACCAGCATGTGTTGGTTTTCTATATACATCCCTGCTTAACTTCTCACCTGCTCTGATCACAAAGACATCTAAAAAGGGCAGTGTTGTTGACCTCCATCTCCATTGTCAACTTTATATAGCAATCAATCTCGTTAATTAAAAACAAGAAATCATCTAAACTATCCTTGCTAAACTGCCATATGGCAAAGTAGTCATCCATGCATCTAACTGACAGTTTGAATGTCAATCTTACCTCTTTCATGAAGTTTTCGTCCATTCTTGACATGCAAATATTAGCTAAAATAAGAGCCATGGCAGACTCAGATCAACATTCCTAGCACAAGGGTGAGGGAGGTGAGGGGGGTGAGAGGGTGAGAGAGCCAGTGTGGAGTGTGAAGAGTTCTCATGAAATCCGCTTAAAAGGGCATACCATACCACACTTAAATAGGCAAGTAAAAATTGTGATAGTCATGTGGTGATACGAGGATATAAGTTTGGTGGTTAGCTCAGGGCGGAACGATAGATACCACGAATGTTTAGCATAAAATTGGTCATAGGATCGGCTTCACGTGTCTCTTTGATGAGTTATTGTGTGATGGTAAGACAGACAATGCTCACTGATGATGCCGATTATGATGCCGGCGAAACGTCTGGGAATGTCCCATGTACATAGTCCGACTCTGGAAATTATCATGCATACTATGGACTCCGGACAAGGTGCGTTCCTCTAGGTCTTCCCGACAATATGACCAAATTGCGAAAACAAGGTCTGGCAGCTTCTGTAACACGAAAGCAGATTTCGAACATACAATAGGCCAGACCATATTTGTCTTTATAAGTATAGCTTGAAAGGAAATTTAGGAGGAAAAATGAATTTTTGTATTTCCCACATAAATCTCAACCCAATTTGCTTTCAAGTGGGCAAACTAGGAAACGTAGAATAGGCAAACCGTCTCTTTTTTCTCATTCCTTAGTTAATCTAGACATTACATCTATTCCATTCATCCAACTTGAAAAAGTTCTTAGCTTGTCTTTGCCATGTTGCCAAACAACCAAGTAGCCCTTCATATATCAAACCCATAATAAAGGGACTTAAAGTGCTTCATAAATTAGGCGTTTCTCCATGTAGTTATTTTATAAAATTGGTTATAAACTCGATCCCATAGCTAAACTTCGTAGTTATTCGTACACATTACCTTTAAAGGTATACATGCGCATTGTACATGGCTAAATTTACTATATCATATCTGACTACTTACCTTAATTTGTACTCCATAAAATCTCCGGGGTATTGATCTAATGCTAGTTCCAGAGCATATATAACTCAGCTTATGGGAATGTTGGAGTACATCAACTCTATATCAAAGTTCACACACAAATGCTCGCTTTCTATCCCCTGCTCATCGAATTAAGTTGACGAATTCTTAGGAACTGCCTATTAAAATTTATCGGATTTCGGAAATTTGCCTCATTCTGTGACAAATAATTCGTGATGTTTTACGCATTATGCAAGCCTTTTTATTAACAATACATTAACACGAAAATCATTAGGTTTTTTATCATGTCTATTTAAAAATTCTGTCATTTACTTTGAAGGCTACATCTGCTCTGACTCGGTGACATTTTCAAGGGTAATTGGCGATTCAGTAAAGATGCGTTTTTACTTGCGATCGACAGCGCTACTTAATTTCGATAAGAGTAACTTTCGACACTATCAGTAAGTCTTGATTAAGAACTCGTTAAATCAGCAGTCCTTAAATCACTTTCAGAAACCTCGGTTGACCAAGCTCTGATCCAATTATGTCTAATAATATCGGAAACGACTTAGGCACTTTTGCACTACCTCCAGGTGACACTTTTAAGCCGATATGGCGTTTGTCTATGGCTCTGTCGAGAGAACTTGGCTTCGGTCAAGCTTACCTTAATTGCAAAATGTTCCAGCTTGAGCCTCTCCAATTTTGTGTTCCGCCTAATATTCGAATATTCCCTTACGTCGCTCACCCTCATGCCTGCATCCGCTTACAGACCAGCCTCTCTGCTCTACTTCAAGCTAGCAGGAGGATGCCAAATGGAGCCTGGCCGTGTCCATTCGTCAAACCACGTAGAAAGGTTGTTGGATTAAAAGGCTTTTGGCGAAAGAGGTATCAACAGGAATGAACCTCGATCCCAGTCGAAGCTGAACGATTAATGTAACCCCCTCCTCAGGATCATTAACATCAGAATAGCACGACGGTTAGAATCAAGTATTGTGATGATAGTGATAATAGTTGAATAGTCCCACATTCATTATGATTCGGTCTTATGTTTCAATTGAGTTTCATTTAGCCTTGCTTCCCAAATAGTGCTCTCATCCCGACTAAACTGGGCTGAGCTAGTTTCGGCATCGCATCAGACTGGAGCACAGATAATCAGCTTTGGAGTTGACGTCAGAAAGTGCAGAATTATGGTGGCGGATCAGAGAGGAATTCAAAGCAAGGCGCGTAGTATGAAATCATGAATGACCAAAAACGTAGCCATGACAAATTTCAACATATCAGATACGTGAAAAATCCGAGCTGAAAGAGGAATCTATGGGAAGCATAATACAGTTGGACAGTGGCTAAATGGATGATGAAGAAATAAAGATTACAAAGATGTGGAAGAAATTTTAAGATATCTGAAGAGGTGAGAAAATTGCCTAACGAAAGAAGATGCCTAGGTAAATCATGAAAAAATGACTAGATATAGGTCCAACATTTAGAAGCTCGTGGAAGTAGAAAAGGGAAGGATTTCAAAGAAATAACTAAAAAGAGGAAGTATACAGAGTAGGAGGAAAGCGAGAGAACGAGTATAGCGATGCGCGAAAACTCGACCGTGCTGGGAGTCGAACCC